ATATTCTTCTGTACTAAACACAAATCCTGCACTACTGAATTCCCATTAGTCCTTTGAAGGCAGAGGTGTTATTTCCAGCTCTCCAGACTTATTTAGTGTCACTGGATATGCCCGGCTTCTTTGCCAAAATCTTACATATGCCTTTCAGTCTTTTTATCAGGCTCTGTGTTCTTCTATGAGTAGCTAATGTGGTGGCTCAAGTTTAACTTTAAAAAGACCATCTTAAGACCACTGGGGCAGAGAAGGGAAAGAAAAAAATGAGTTTTGAACATACTGTAAGTTGCATTTAAACTTCTCGGGATCTTTTTTTTTTTTTTGCTAGCTTCTAGATTCCATGTAAAGCCACAAAAGGGAGGAACAAACTTCAAGTTGTCTGTTTCCTCCTCCAAGGCAGCGCAGCACAGCACACTCTGCCCTCCTCACCTGCGCTGCGCTTCGGAAGTAGGACTTAAACGAGAATCGCTAATGCTAGTCCTCAAAAACAGGCAGGGGAATGAAATGTGTAGGTGATGAGGCCTTGTTTACCAGTGAGAGCTGCTGGCTCTGTGCTTGAGGGACTGTGCCCCACAGAACTGCAGGCACTGCCCTCCCAGTGTTGGGTTTCTGACACAGCAATGAACCTGTTACTCAATGCAGTACACCAATATTCTTACCCAAATATGCTGAAACAAGTTCTGTTTGTTTTTAAAGATAAACTCAGTTACACAACACACTTGATCACTGCTTGACTTCTCTTTATTCCACTATGTGGAAATGGATTGACACTTGCTGTAGTTCTCTTCATTTCCTAATTTTTGCCTGTGACTTTGCCTTTGCAATGTAGAGAATGTTGTTTACTCTGCAGTGTTTGAATGGGTCCTTACTCTGGGAAAGAGTCTGTGAGGAAACCAGATCTGACCCTGCTGTGTCCCCCTCCTCCTCCCAAAAAACAGCAATAAAAAATAGAAAAAATAGAAAAGAAAGCCCTAGCTTCCTGTATTGTGCAGTACATGGATGTACAGCAGAGCAAGATATTTACATGCAATTGCATTGCTGGGCTTTAAGAAGAGTGTAAACCCAAGAATTTTCAATTTCTGCTTATGAACCAGCTACCTTTGGACTCAAACCAGGGCAAATCAGCTGCAGTTAAGTCCACAGCTCTCAATTTCTGGTGCTTTTTGAACCATTCCCATATCTGGAAACTCTTCAAATGTTTACTCGTAATTACTCCTTGGGATGGGTTATGAGTAATATGAAATACATTTTGGAACTCCTAGCCTTAAAGGGAGCCTTGGGGCACTCCTGAAAAACAAGTTTTGCTGTGACAGCTTTAGTGCCTGGCTTTGACTCACAAGGGTTTCCATGTTTGTGTGTGAAGCGTTTTCTGAGCAGCACATAAGGAGAACTGCAGCCATCCATCTACACCGAAGGACACACAAAATCAGAGGGGAAAGTGATACCAGATCTTCTTTATTCTAAACTGTTTGACTTGATTTTGCTTAGAACAAGTAACTGTTGTTACCGTATTTATTTTCTTGCCCTTTCTAAATAGCAGAGACACACTTGGATTGTTCTGAAATCCAGGGAACTAAGCAAACTCTGTGTAAATCTTTCAGAAAAACCCACAGATTATGTACCTGGAACAGGAGCTGGAGAGCCTGAAAGCAGTGCTGGAGATCAAGAATGAGAAACTCCACCAGCAGGATATAAAGCTAATGAAGATGGAGAAATTGGTGAGTTTTCCTTGGGGGACCACGTCTGTGTTGTGTTCTGATAATGAACTTGGGCTGGTCAGGCTTATGCACGAAGATTAATTCCTTTGTTTAAAAGGAAACATGAAACAATGATGGGACATGCTTACATTGCATGTTGTACAATTACAACTGCATCAGGCTGTAGGGTAAAGAGGGGGAAAGAATCACCAGATGCTGTAAATGACCTTCTAACCTCTCAAGGCAACTACTGGTTTGCATAAACTATTGCTAGGTTAGTCCAGGGTTATCTGAGAGCCTCTTCCACATCCTTTCCTTCTCCTTCATTCCCTAGGGAAAAAAATCCTTACCTCCTATGTTTGCTTGAGTGGTATGGATAGATTGCACTGTCAGGAAAACATTAACATGGAAATGATACTCATTAAACAAGAAGAGGTCAAATATGAAATGGAATGTTTTAATCTAGAGTTAGTTAGATTAGGACAATCATTTTAGCTGTTATCTTTAAATTTGGCTGTGTGGATTTGCTCCTGGTCTGTGCATAATTCCGCATGAAAATTAACTTTGGGGGCAGAACATGTAATTATTTGGCATGCTCTAGTTTGTGGCAGGACAGGGTCCTTACCCTGGGCAGGGCAGTTAAATGCTGCTGTAATGCTTGCTTAAACAGGATTTTAATGGGGAAGTACAGAAAGACTTTTGGATAAGAAGGAATACATTCATGTCAGTTGTTTGGTATTGCACAGCATCGTAAGTTGCCCTTGTTTACAGTTCCCAGTAAATCGCTAATAAACCTTCATCATCTTTGACAGACTCTGGTCACAGTATAAAAGCCCTTGGACCATCCGACCATTTAATCACCGTTTGTTCCTTTAGACAACATCTTGCAGCAATGAAGTGGAATCGGGAGAGCAGCCAGGAGAGCTGTTTCCACAGGGTAGCTGTTGAATTTGTCAGATTAGCACATGGGTTCTCAACAGTCTTCTACCTGCAGCAGCTTCTAAAACTGCTGCCTATTCCTGGCAGAGGTGTCCGGAACGTGCTGGTTAACTGGTAGATCCCTCATCCAGCCCTCCTTTGCTGACATCTGATCAGCACAAGGGGCAGAATGCCAGTGTTATGAAAGGATCAGGTATGCAGGATCTGTTTGACTGTTACAGAACATGAAGCCACAATAGCAGGTCTGCCTCACATTACTCCAGGCTTTTGCACTTACTGTAACAAGATCTGCAAACTTCAGATTATGAACATCTGTGATAGCTCAGTCACTATCTGTCTTGATGAGTGCAGGTATGGGTTTTGTTTTAAACTGTGACCTTTTTTCCTAAGCTGGAGAACAACACAATCCTAATGGATAAATTAAAGAAGGTTCAGCAAGAAAATGAAGAATTAAAAGCTCGGATGGACAAACACATGGAGCTTTCAAGGTGAAAAATATCTGTGGACTTTTAGATGTTGTTGTGAACCAGGAGAAGGTGTTTCTGTGACCAAGAGAAAATTCTGTTTAATTAGTGACTGGGATTTTGTGGCCCTCTGTAGAAGAACACATCCCTTTTCTTCCCCACTTGTATCTCTGCGTATGTGTATTCCTATGTAGGAGAACAAGCAGGAACAGATCGTAAGGGGTTAAAGGCTTGGTATGTTCTTCAGTGCCCCAAACCAGTATTTTGGGGAAGAAAAGTCTACTCAAAATATAATCTTACCATGGATTGGCTCTTTAAGTATTACAGGCTTGTGAGCTAAACCTGATTTTATTTTTAACCATGTCAGTTGGGTGATGTGTCCCCAGTTTAGATCAGTGAAAAGACAGGTGTGTTTTATTTAGCAATAATAGGAATATCTGACATGCATGAGTCCAAGATCCATCCAACTTCAACTACTGCTTAAATGGATGGGCAAACTCTTCCAGTTTGAGGGACACTTCAGAAATGCAGCCTCTGTGTAAAGCTAAGCCTGCAACAAGACCTGAAGGCTCCAGGATGGCCATTTAAAAAGCTGCTGTCCTTGCAAGTAGAACAAGTCTTGCTTTTCAGATGCTTTTTCTGGCCTTTAAGGATGTTTCTCACTGGGATTTTCTCCTGCTTTCTGCAAGCTACCAGTTTAAATCCAGCAAGGATGAGAACAAGATGATAAATCCTCCTTCTAAGAAAGTAAAGTAGTTGTAAGCCAGCCAGGAGTCTATGCAGTTTCAAACATTTCTTTAGCAGTTAAGTTCAGTACTGTAACCTCCGACTTGGGTTTCATGTTCTCATGCAAATCTTATCTTATGCTTGCAGGCAACTTTCTACAGAGCAAGCTGTTTTACAGGAGTCACTGGAGAAAGAATCAAAAGTGAACAAGCGCTTGTCAATGGAAAATGAAGAACTGCTGTGGAAGTTGCACAATGGTGACCTATGCAGCCCAAGAAAACTGTCTCCCAGTTCTCCATCTGTGCCTCTTCAATCCCCACGGAATTCTGGTAATTTCTCTAGTCCTACAGTATCACCGAGATGACATCTCTTGAGAGAAAGAGGGGATTGCATTTCATTTGTGATCTGCAGAACCACTCCTCACTTCAATCACAAGAGCTATATTAGCCAAGTGTGGCAACTAAACATAACTGGAAGCTATTTGGTGCAAAAGTGGTGGTAAGAGCTGGAGAATATGGGAGCAAGACATTCATGTTGCTCTTCCCAAAAGACTTGTTTATGACCTCTATGGACATTGTTGCACAAAGCACTTACAGAGCAAGAAAAGACTTGTTCATTGCCTTTTCACCTAACTATAAGGAAAAGCTCAGGGGCTTACAGATAAAGATCACCACCTTTATAATATGTTCCTATCATAGACACTTTTTTTTAAGGCTGTGTGTATGCGTGTGTGCGTGCGTATGCTGTGTGCAGAATGGATGTAACACACTGTGCGTGTGTCTAATGCTGCCTTCTTTGCTGTGTATGTAATAAAGGATAAAAGCTGAAGACTATACATTGATGTGTACTTCCTTAACGCTGTTGTCAGGATGCGTGCGTTTAGCAGAGAGTACCCTCACCTGGGAATGAGGAGAAACTGCCACTAGTACTTAAGTTAGTTTCCTTCATCTTTCTGGCTTTTGCTCAGTAAGAAAAAGGCCTGAAAAGCTTTGTTAACTGACTCCTTAGTGTCTTGGCTGACCTCAGTATGCAACTGATATTTTAAAAACAGACTGAACTGCAGCATGGATTCTCAGTTTAACATCCGTGCACAACTCTGCCATTTACAAGGAGACACTTTTTGCAGCAGTGAATTCCAGCTTACAAGCTCCAAGGCCATAGTCAGAACCATGGATTACCAGTCGAGTTGCAGGTTTAGAAAACTAGATCTCTCATTGTACCTGCTGAAAAGGAATTGCGTATTTCCCCAAAACAGCATGTCCACCGCTGAGGCCATCTGCTGAGGATAAACTAGCTATAGATTTGAAAGCCAAAGAGAAAAATGCAATAATTGTCATTAGGTGCATTCTTAAGAATCTGAAGTAATTTGTGAGTTCCAATGTATCTGGTAACACACTTTGCCTTTTTAATCACTAGCATTTGTATTAACAACCTTCAGGGTTGGCAAAGTCCACCTCAGGAGAAGAGGGAAGTGACAGCTGTCGATTTAGCTTGCTAATTCTGCCATAACTTCCCTTTTAGATTGGAGTGTATCAGTGTGTTGCCAGTTCATGTGGCAAAAGATCCTATACAAGAGATTCTGTAGAGTAGGGAAAAAAATTGTCCTGGCTGCTGGAACTGGAGGCTGAGAGCACCAGCACTTTTGGAAATGTCATGTGCTCAGCTTCAACAATGTAATCATGTAGCCGTGCTCCACCCTTGGTCAGACCTGTTTAAGATGTCTACATCATACCTACTAAACACAGGTTCAACTTCAAATTAGTTTTACAAAACAGCCTCTTACAAGCTTACAGTAGCTTGAGGTTTACAGCACCACTTCCAGGACCAATGGTACATGACTAGTTAATGGTGTTAGCCAGCTTTGCTAGTAACTGCTCTGGTAAATGGTATCTATCTGCTGAGTTTCCGTCTTTTTCAGTAGCTTGGGGGCAGGAATGAAGGGGGTGGGAAGTGTTTGGGTAACTCCGCTGGAGAACCAGTTCAAACCATTTTGCCCAAGACTTGAAAATTCTTGGCTAGTAATGAGGAACACAAAGATATAAACAAGACTGTTGTTAGCAGTGCTCATACAGTAAGTAAAACTTGTAATATACTTGTGATTGACTATTTAATCATAAAATTTACTTAATTTTCCCTAATGTGCAAGCTAAGGGTGCCACTGCTATGGAGTATTATGCTCTCTTTTAATCCTCTTTAAGGCACTGTACAATACCACTTGTTAGTGGTGTCAGTACTTACAATGTTTTCTAGGGGTTTCAAATTGAACTATAAAGATCCTCTGCGGGCTACAGCTGGGCTTAAAGTGTATCTTGGAACATTCTTATTTTCTGTGGTCAAAGATTTGATTACATGTATTTGAGCTGAATGCTTAAATAAATTTTTTTGTACCAATTGAAGGGATTTTCTCCTGCTTCTGTTAATCACAGGATCTTTTAGTAAGGAAGAGGAACGTTCCTTCAAGTACTACAAACTCTTAGTACCTGCTCATCATAGCAGAACACCAATAGTGACGCTTCACTGAACAAATTACTAATGTTCAGCTAAAAACATTCACAGAAAAATTTAACTCTACCCTTGCAACTCTTTCTTTATGTAGGCAGAGGTTACACAGAGCTTGCTTGTGATTATTAGCAACTCACTTTCAGCTGGGTTTTTAAAAAAGGACAGATAATGCAGGTAACATTACAGAACGAAGCAATAGTAAAACACTTGAGTACAGTTGGCTTAATGTGCATCTGCCTGTAAAGGCATCCTAGAGGACTCATGTTACTAAAATGCTCCCCTTATTGAGGTTATGTGAGAGAAGTCAAATAGAGTTTAGCAGTTTACAGGTCATGTCACAAGAACAGCTGTCTAGCCAGACGTAAGAACTTTATTTTCTTGGTTGCAATGTTACTGCCTCAAAGGAAACATGCAAGGAGATTGCATATTAACGTATGAAGATCAAATACAGTGTGCCCCTTCATGTAACAGCAGAGGAAAGCTTATCTTACCTCCTAGTACAGAAAAGTGTGTCATAGTAAATAACACCAAGACTGGTAATTTGTTGATAGTTTTCCTCTGCAATACAGGAGCTTCTTCACTTCTAAACTTCTTGCAAGTAGAATCTTTAATGGTCTAACAAAGAAATGAAGAATCCTTTTCTACAGGAATCAGACTACAGAAATAGACGCTTAGTGGTTCTTCTGTTGGTTCAGAAGAATTAAATAGTTATGTTCACCTGTAAGCACAGTTTCAGTATTTTTCCCTAAGTATTAATATGTCAAGCTTTAACTTAAATACTGTGTGTTAACAAAGGCTTTGTCTGATCCAGTAACTTGTACATGTTTTTTGTTAATTTCTTTCGCATAAAGTTTCCTTCAAGGAAAAGCTAGAAACCAGCTGCCATAAATATATGCCAAAGGTCTAGTGCTAGTCATGCAAGTAAGTGATTATCTTCAGGTACTAAGCCTTAACTAGTAGTTCCCACTGTAATACTACATTTCAAAGGAACTAAGTCACATATCTGTACCAAATAGTTTCTGGCCATTCAAACTATTCATAATATAGTTCACCTCTCTTCAGTACTTTTCTTTAAAGGTCTTTATATGAGTTCTGCAGTAAAATTTGAGGTGAATCATTTCCTTATGCTAACTGAAGACTTGAAGCTTCACGTTACAAACACCAAAGACATGTCCAGGAAATTCCTTCTAGACAGTGAGTAACCACTGATCTTTCTTTAAAGCTGTAGTTGCCTGACAGCCAGGACATCATTAAGGGCTGAGCTGGAGTTGAGGGGTAATCAGAAAGCTGGAATAATCATTGAAGCCTTAAGAAATAAATACCTGTTGTCCATTGCTGCCCCCTTACCATAGCAGAGCAGTGACCAACGTACAGACATTGACATAATAGTGGTGGGCTTAGGCATGTGACTTTGACAAGTCACTTCCTTCGGTTCCCAGGCTTCATTCTCTTCCCTCATGTCACTGTTCACTTATGTGGAAATGTTTAATTGCATCAATGTAAAAAAGAATCAGGCCTGCCCAGAAGACTTTTAGTAAAATGAGAACTATGTAAAATACAAAGTAAGCTAATTTTCATTGTTGACAGTTACAGAAATCATTTTGATGTCTGCAGGGGGGAAACCAAACACCAAAAATTCTTCCTTAAAGGCACTGCTTCTGTAGCCGTAATGAGTCTTGAGAACTGCTTGTGATTGGTACATGTAACCATTTCACCCAAGGGTCACTACTCAAGCAATGATGCAACAACGGATCTGCATCGGCGTTTCCACTCCTGCTGAACTGTCACCAAGGAAATGATGCTACCTCGTGATCCGCTGTGCTACTGAACCAGCCTGAGCAGGTGACACATCTCCCACTTGTTAGCTATTTTGAAGGAAATCAATTACTGATCTGATTGTATTGGAAGGTGTACCTTACATGGTTTCTGTGCTTGAGGCCAAGAAGAAAAAACATTGCAGAGAAGAGGTAAGAACCTGGTAAAATGTCGGTAGATGTTTTGGCAAAGTCTCTTCCCTTGCCCCGGTAACTAAACCCAGGATGAAGATAGCAGTTGCTTATTTATCCATATACAATTCTGTATAAATGAGATCTTTTTTTTCCTAAGAAACATCAGTTTTCTTCTAGGACACATCAGTTTTCTAAGTAAAGTAATACAGTCAAGTTGCACTTGTTATTAACCTGAGAAAAGATTCTGCTGTATAATCAAACATTATTCTAATGTTATAGTTGTTGGTTGGGGTTTTTTTTTTGGATATGATACTATATAAACAAATGCAAGTTTTACCTTTAGCAAACACTCTGCTACATGATTTAGTAAGCCTAAGTGACCTCTCAGTAAGCTACATGGTATGAGACTGCAAGAATGCAACAACAGAAGAAAAATCCAACATAGCCAACAGTTTACAAGTCTGTGGAGGTGCCCTCCAGCACCTTAATATGTATTTAGGATTAATCTTCCCCAGGAATGAGAAGTCTATGTGTTTGTCTTTGTACAAACATGAAATGCAAACACACACACACACATACATTTACATTTTCATAATATTCAGAAATTTAATTACTCTTGCAAAATAAACATTTGCTATTGGCTAATTCCATAAAAAGAGGTGGTTTTTGTTTGGTTTTGATACTGTTTCAAACATGTACAGTACTCTCAACTCTAAAATTGCACTGCACCAGGAGAGCTAGACCTGCTTGGTGAATTTCTGAGGATATTTCATACCCTCTCAGTTCTCACATACACAAAGGCACAAACCATTCAGCAGGTTAACCTTAGAAAAGAGTTTGAAGAAAAAGATCATATGCAAAGGAAAGCCCAAGAGCACCTATTCCTAAATAAAGTAAACCCTATGCATGTTCAGGCTTAAACCTTAATGCTTCACAGTAGTATTATTAACTCACTACTGCTGGGTGTAGGGAACTCTCTTTTGGCCAGTCAGGCTACTGAATATGGAATGCATTGATAGCGCATGAAAAAAGACAGCGATAGAGAAAAATGTCACTTAAATGTTACTAAAGAAAATAAATGGCTATAGTATCAAATAACGTACAGTTCGTTCCACATCCAGAAGCCTCTCCGATCAATTTAGTTCAACTTTAGTAGCTACTGTTGTTTCTCCTTGTAGGTTCTGAGCTATACAAATGTAGTTTCCAGCATCTCTGGCTTCAAAACCCTCAACAAGAAGAATACTCTTTGAGATTCTTGTGGTATGTCCAATTCCTCTGTTTATCAGTCTCCAGAAGTTTTGGATAATCACAGGCCTCTCAGACTGTTTAAAAGAAACAAATAAAAACAACCAACCACATAAGAAAATACATGATTCTGCAAAGTGCATTTAGTGACATCACCTTATCAAACCCTGAGAGATCAGATAGCAGGAAGCCTATAGTCAATAGACAGCCTTAAGTGAGGAAACTTAAGGTGGCTGGCAGTTGCAGCAACATTCCTGCACTAAATATTTACCTACCACTAAGTTACACCAAGTAAGGCTAAATACAGCAGCTCTTCCACTCAAGTGCGGATACTGTGTATCTTTAGATAAGCAATGGCCTGCCAAAGTTCTGCCTGGAGTATATACATGAACTTGATTGCAGGTGTAGGCCACTTACTAAGGTTGCCTTTGGGTACTTGAACAAATAGGCAAGGTATCCTGCATGAGACATCAGGGAAGACGTGAGCTTATTTTCAGACTGAATTTCAGCATGCCTCAAAAAGGAAGACAGCAGCAGCATCAGTGGGTTCCCCAAGCTTTACCTATTTCTCTTTAGCACAGATAATAGCTTTAAATCATGTGTTGCAAACTAATTCCCCCACCTCTAGTTTCAGAAACACTGTATAACATACAAGCAAACTAACAATTCACAAATCCTAAATCAATCCTCACATTATGCTTTCAAGAATGTGCAACTTCAAAGCCAAAAATATGAATAAGGATGCTTAGAATGATGTTCTTACATTGCAATGGTATCATATATAATTGGTGCTAACCCCCCTGCTTTTCTAAAAGTGAATTCTCTGATGGACTGTTTATCAGGTCACACTCCCTGGCACCGCACAAATTTGCAAAGGCCTGCATGCCATAAACTGGCCCAAAGATAGAATAAGGCAGTCTCTTCCCTTCCAAAAGCCATTATGCTAGTCAGCAGCTTCCATCAATAACCTGGATAAAACTGGTAAGAGAGGCTTCTGCTGGGAAACCATCTCCTCTTGCTTCAGAAAATAGATGGTTTAGCTGTTTACCAACATGAATGCTATGAGGCTTAAGCTAATAGTAGCAAGAGGGTAAACCAGACACTTATCTAGTGCCAGAGCTACCGTCTCACACTTGCAAAATGACCAGTCCAGGAGAAGCCGCCAGTCTTTGTGAAGCTCAGGGGATGCCTAAAGAAGTGACACACATTTACAGCCAGCAAGAACTTCTTTTGCTTACAGTGGTCATCTCACCCAGAAATTCTTAACCCTTTAGAAGGACTCAAGCCACTCTGCAGAACTCTACCTAGCAGAGCACAAACCTGTTGCCAGCCTGAAAATCAAGTGCTACCACACACATAATGCAAGACTAAGTTAGTTCTTAGAAAAAGCAAAGAGAACTTCCCTGACCCTAGTGAAAGTGAAGGTAAAGGCCATGTATGGCAGAAGCTATTTGCCAGGTTGGGCTCCTGCTAGCCCAGTTTTTCCTCAAACTAATTGCCTTCTGCTTTGAAGCTAGTTTGAGAGAATCATATTAATGAAGTGGATTGGTATGCATCAGTAAGCATTCACAGCAGGGGAATGACCAAATGCAGTTGTCAGGGAGTGGCAAGGGATAAAAAAAAATGTACGAGGGAGAGGTTAGCGACTACAGAGACGGGGGGGTCTCTCCAATGCAATGTACCTAGCAGCAAGCAGAGATTGAAGTGATGCTTCTGCTCAGGGATCAAGTGGTAGGTGACACGCCAGGTCACCAGGGGAACAAAAGCTGTCACTAAGCTCCCTGCATTGAAAGCAGCCGCAGTGAAAGGAAACATCCAACAAACCTTAGAATTCTGCCAGTCTCTTTTCTCGCACAAAAGGTGTATCTGACCAGAATGACTGATCGTTCTCTCTCTTCTCCCTTCACCCCTACCTTTGCAGTATGAGAACAGTTCCTTAATAAATGTTGTCTCCAACATGCATGCAGTGCTTCTACTCTGACATCTACTTAATCATTTTGCTGGGTCAGAAACCAAACACAACTTTTCCCTCCCTATCCCCAGGCACAGCTGGAGCTGAGACTGTTCAGTCTAATGATCCAGTCCTTCCTAGAGCAGAGTCAGGTCACAGGCCAGAGTCTCTCTCCCAGCCACCATGTGCCCTGTATTGCAGCATGCACTACACTCATGGGAGATCACCTGCATGTATGTAGCTGTTCATATTCAATCAGTGCTAGAGTGTCCATCTTAACAGCTACAGCAAACCTCTGGGCTTTAGATTTGAATTTTCTCAAGCCTAGTAAGCACTAAATTCCAACCACCCACTTAAACAATTACCTCTGCTGTTAAATTACTTAATTCTTTGCTGCCTCAGTGTTGATACAAATACCTCCTCAGAAAGCTCTACATGGTCCCTTGACAACCCAGCACCAGGAGGGCTAGCAAGTGGAATACAATGCAAACCCTCAGGTCATAGAGGATTCCTTTCCTCTGATGAAGGGTTCCATCTTCCAGCAGTCCTTCCTTTGCTCCTGGCTTGCTCAGGATAAACAGCAGCAGAATGAGGCTGGTTAATAAACAAGTCTCTACTGTAACTGCTCAGGGTGGGCAAAGGGAGAAGAGAGGGGATCACCAATGAAGCCAGTCAGATACACCTTTTGTGCAAGAAAAAGGACCAAAGTTCTAAGATTCACTGGATGTTTCCAACAGGTTCTTTCAAGATGAGGCAGGGCAGAAGCAGATTTCTGTGCTTCTGGATGTGGGTAGCAATTAAAAGATTCTGTGCTGTGATGATTCATGTGCCTGAGCCACAAAGATGGAAGGTATATCAAATGCAGAGGCATCAGTGAGGATTTATGGCTTGGTCTAGATTAGCTTCCTGGCTCTGACCCCGTCTGAGGATTTTCTTTGTAAATGCTGCCAGAGGCCAAGTGTCTTTGGAATGGAAACCCGAGGGAAGAACAAGCTCTGCTGAGCTTGATTTTTACTAACATGGGCAGAGCTCTCCAGCTTTGTTCCTGTGCTACTTCAAGGCTCTCAGGGAATGACAAGGAAAATTCAAAAGGAACGTGCTGCCTCCTCCTGCTAGCATGCCTGGGCTAGGAAGAGTCAGACACCACAATCTGAAGGAATTTTTACTCCAACTCTAGACACTGACTGGCACTGAAGACATTACCTTTACAAAGCACACACCATTTCAGCCAGGGCATGCATCTCTTACCTCTTGCCCTGGGTACTGCCACCTGAAGTTCACATCTACATCCGGCTCACCAAGGACTGTGCAGATTACGTGAATGCTGTCACTGACATCTGCTCTGCTGGATGATGCTGAAATTGTGGTTGAGGGCGGGCCCTTGGGAACTAAGAGAAAGTGTTTGGAAGAAGAAAATTAGTTTCTGAAGTTAAATACACTGATAAAGCTTAAGAGTCAATTTTTGCCTCTGCTTCCTTATTGCAACAAGTAAGTGATGTGCACCTGCAACTCTCCCCTCTACAGTGGGAAACTGCTGGAATTTAAACCTACAGATTTATCACATATGCTTCTAATCAACATTTTAAAATTCTGTGATTATATATTTTACTTTTTTTTTAAGTACTGTTTTCTAAACAACGCCAGGAGAATGTCAGTATAAGCATACAGAGAACTGCAACTTACCTTCCACATACAGTAGGTGATACTTGATGGAAATCTGAGGTGCTCCCTGTGACTCTGCTTTGCAGTAGACAATACCCTTATGATCAGAAGTAGGGTGCTGGTAGACAAAACCCTTCTTCACATCATAAACAATATCAGTTCCATCTGTTTCAATTTCTTCTGCTGGAAATTCCCTGTGCAGAGTTACTTTTGCTGAAGGAGTAGTAACGCGACATGGGATGACTGCAGGTTTATCTGGGTTCAGGTATACAATCTCAAAATAACTGGGAGTAGGTACAAAAAGTTCCTCTTTATCTGTGCAGAAGAGTTGATACAGTTGGAATATTTACATCTTGGCTTAACAGAAACAAAAGCACATATGACAAAATAGCTATAAGCAGTATTAAAAATTACCCAAAGCTTTTTGCTTTAAATGTGCATCCACAGAAGAAAAAAAAATAGCAACTTTTCTAACCTGCGAGTATATATTTACACAGCTTGCATTAAACACATTAAATCAAAAAGAAAAGTATTCCTCACTGTAATCAAATTTTATTAATCTTGTGAAAATCTTCGGAATTCCTTTTTGACAAGTTTCCAAATATTCATCTGGATCTAATTCTGTTCACTCAACCACTTTTAAAGGATAGCACACATAAAACCCCCCACCACCACTGGTAAGATAAGTATTAGAAACAGATATTATTTGGAGCTACAGCCTTTTCATACACATAATTTTAGGCAACTGTTTGATTTGCTTCTCTAAGTAGGTAAAATACTTAGCACTTTAAGAATGAAAGTTAAAGAGTAGTTCCATATTTGGCATGCTTCTTAGAAATATGAAACTGAAATTCCTCTTTCCAGCACAAGTGTTTATATAATAACTTCAGTGGAAAGTTCGCTCCGGTCTTTCTAAAGGAATGTATCATCAGAACATTAAGCACTTCTGATCAATGGCTTCTGCACAGTCTCATGGTCTAATTTAACTCCAAAACATATCACAAGCAACCCTAGTTTAGGATTTTGTACTAAAATATTTGCTAGCCAAAAATGGTTTCACTCTGATCAGGCACCAGACGTTGTTTTACCATTGAGAATGCTCTCCATGAGAAGAACAAGTGAACCATTTGATTACAGCTCTGATGTACCATGTAGCAGTAAACTCTACACAGTTACATACTATGACCCTATCTGTGCAGTGTCAGGGCTAGTCAATCTCAAGCTCTGCTGGGCAACACATGTACTTAAGAGTGTTTTGCCTCTCAACATGCTACACAGACTCTTGTGAGAAACAATGGCCTTACATGGATCAATAAGGTCAAGACTTAAGTCACTACAGGTAACTGCAAGGGGTGGAGAGAGGAGGAAGAAGAGTCCATGGGGTCATGTGAACGCTGTGACAAGATTAATCATCTGCACGGATTTATTTTCTTTATCCAGACACATTTTCAAAAATAAAGCATTTTTTAATTCATTTTTTAGAGGATGCTCAGAACATGTTAGTATTTTCAGAAGTATTTGCTTTCCATTGCATTATACATTATTTTGGGTACACATTTAGCATAATCCGTAGGGAAAATGGACTCATTAATCACACTAAGCAAGTAATTTTCTGCTCACCAGCACCGTCTTAACAGCCACTAAAACTGTGGAAGAAAAATCTTGACAGTGAAATCACTGATGTAACTTTATTCCTGTCTTATTAGCAAATATATTTCCATTAATAAACCCCCAGTGAGTTAATTACCTGTGAAAAAGATGTACGTTGAGCCTGTTTTAGTCTCATCCTTCCTGCATTTGTTACCATTGCACAGCTGAAGCCAGCAGCTGTATTCACCTGTATCTGCTGCAGTGGAGTTTGCGAGGATCAGCTGACCATACCTGTCAAGCTGCTTTATACTGAAGAAAAACAAAAGGCACAGTAAAGCACAGATATATGTCTGTGTACATTTCTACTTTATTTTTTTATTCCTACTCTGCAATTGACCCACCTTTTGCTTCCAGAGCTATGCTGAAACTTCCCCTTTTACTTCAGCAAATACCTGCTTACATGAGTAGTTCTCTTGATTTCAACTACACACAAGCACTTGCTAGCACTTGTCTTAGCTCATTCTTGAATTTCTTGCAGTCCCTGTTTTGAAACTGGGCTGCAACTGCTGTGACAACATGTTCATCTATGTTTTAGCTCCATTTGTCCATATATAAGCCTGTATTTTCATGCTGCAAGTTAACCTGCCAGCATTCCAGTCCTTTTTTGATACCATTAACTGTACCACTGCTTCAATAGTATGTAACAAAGATAATTCAGGACCATTAAATAGCAGGTACTTTAATTAAAGAGTCTGTTTGATGATTTATGCCTGCTTTCACTGCGGACGCCTTCCCATCTTTAATATACTTTTCCAAGTTTCCACTTGCAAACACCATCATTAAAGAGCTTTTAGCCCAGCTTGGATTTGTTCTGCAAGTCATTCATTTCACATCGCCTACTCCTCTGCCCTAAGCCACCTCACTGGCATCCTCTCACTCGAGTTTCCTCATCACCCCTCAGCTACTACAGAGCATGACCCCGAGAACTGCTGGAGGCGTACTGGCAGTGTCATCATGTAACTACACAAAATACAGCCTGTGTGACTATTTCAGACTTGATTTGCTTTTTTCTCCTCCTGAATTTCCCAGATACATCTCTCAGTGGACTGACATTTACAAACGTGCAACTATTTCTAAATATGTAGATATATATAATGTAGGTACTGGCAATGTTTCTAAGGGTCAAAGGTCCTATAGATGAAATTCTTCAGCTACAGTCTCATTTGTTCTTTTCTATTTTGAGGTTTGCTTTCCCTGACTCTTTCTTGCAGACAGATGGTGTTACAGTTGGCAGTCTGATGTGCTGCCTTTGATGGACTGCAAAAGCAACAGAGCAACAGTACCACTTCTTGGGGAACCCTGTGAGGACAGCCACTGTCAGTACTGATGCACTTCACTGCTGCTCTGACCCTTAAAAAGAGTTATTTTCAACCAACTGGCTTTACATGGTAGCACATCAAGAGCATGAAGGTTTCTCTACTTTCTTTTGCAAGACACCAAGTTACAAGGTCATTTCTGTTCTAACCAAGTCAGGAGAGATCTTTCCAGTTTTAAGCATCCAATAGTGAACTTCTTTTTGGTGTTTCAAACAGGCTCTGCATGAAGTCTGAAGAGCTTCCATACTCTCATTCAGCTATGGATTCTCTGAATATCTGTTATTCTCTGAATATTTGTTGTTCTCCCATTTCTTCTTATTAATGTGGCAGTTACTCTGTAAGGCATGTGCCTGACTGAATCGTTTGGTTTGAGGATTAGCATGCTTTGAAGAAATTCTTATCCTCTACACCACCTTGTCACCACATAAGAGTGGTGCCATAGACATGCCTGACTACTGTATGCTCTAAATGCTATGTTATGTTTACATCTGCATTTCAGGCAGAATAACTGCTTAAACAGAGAGGCCACTACTTCTAGCTACATGAGCTTCCCAGACTTCTGACTCCCTGGGTGTTCTGCTAGCAGTTTGCACTACTACCAGTGATCATAAACAATGGTTTGTGCAACCCAACATTTGGCCTCCAGCCAAGGCCAGTAGCTTAGAAATTAAACACATACCAAATACACAATACAAACAGGGCTAATTGAGAATTCTCTTTTCCATTAGAGCCCTCAGACAGCATTAGTACACTCAGCCACCATGGGGCAGTTTTGAGGCCTGCCTCAGGAAACAAGCTAAATCATGTTTCCTACCTGCTAATGTGTGTGTCCTACATGACGTAGTTAAATTCCACTTTTCAGAAGCATGAGGTGTCCCTGCCCATGGCAGGGGTTTTGGAATTAGATGATCTTAACATCCTTTCCAATCCTAACTATTCTATGATTCTATGTAATCATGGAGAAGCAGCATTTTTATTTTTAATATATACACTACCTTGCATTATAAATGATCTTCAGGTTTTGGATAGGCTTTGAGAGATTCCTATTCATGCAACAGATCATGTTGTGTACCACAACCAACAGGAAAAGAAATCCAAAACATGTCCTACTGTGTATTATTATTTAGTTTCACAGTTCACATTTCATAGGCTACATGACTATATTAGCATAAAATATTTTGCAAGTATTCAGTAGGAAATGTTAACACTACAGAGATATCATTATGCCAGAACATTTTTCCCTCCAACCATTAATGCAGACACTGAACTATAGCTTGAAATCTCAACAGAAAAAAATAAGGTCAGAGTTAATTAATTACTGTACAGTGTGTTCTACTTAACTGAGAACTTGCTATCCAGTAATCAATGGAAATAGTCTAGCGAGGTAGTCATCCACAAGCATGCACTAACAAAACCTGGGAACAGAGAGCTGAAGTGATGAAACTTGTGACATGACCATATTAAGCAGACAAAACAGGCCATAAGGAGTAAATTATAAACAGTAAATCCTGCAGCTGACCAATATTTCCAGGATAATTTTCATTTCATTACTGTTTTAGGTGCTGGGAAATCTGACTCAAAAGCCAAAAATCTGCTGTGCTCTACATATCACTAAGTAGAAAGGTCGTATATACAAACATTTCAAGACTATTTAAATGAACTAGAAAACTACCCCAAAATCCTATTCCATATATTCACCTTATTAAGCTTTAGGTATCTGAAGTTTGAAAGATCTTTGCCAGAAAAATTATGCGAAGTTTAGAAGCTTAAAAATAAAAAAAAAAAAGACAGAAATCAGTGTACACAGCATTACTTGCATACTTGCAGAGCACCTAGCAAACTCCTCTCAAGCAGCTGCATTCATACCAACAAAACAGAGCTTATCTCCAACACAGCTCACTAGTAGAGGACATAGCGTTCTTGCTGCTTCACGCAAGAAAAAACAATCCTAGCTTTCAGACTTCAGAACACATGGAACAAAATGGAATTCACTTACACATGAACATAACTGATGTCCCACAAAGCCAGGAGGAGCCCGCATTCACTGAAAGCAGTCTAATTTTGCCCTCCACAACATACAGGTTCCTCAATGCTTGCGAGAATGCTCCTGTCCATACATCCCCTGCACACACATATGATGCACATCCAGCTCTTGCCCCAGCTTCTTCCACTGAAGCAGTTCCATTTCACATGAGTTTACTTATCAGGTAAAGTCCTGTGATAAAAACAGCTGGTCTTCATCAGGAAACTCAAACTCCAGGTCAGGCAGAGCAGAGACCATATGAAGTTAAGACTGCCATCATCTAGAGCAGCTTTTTGCTATAACACATGAGAAAAGGAAAATGTGCTTGTCCTTATTTTTCTTTCATCCCTGTCAGTTTCTGATCCTTCTCATACATTGCAGATCCAGTTTCTAGGCCAGCCTACTGTCATTAATTTGTTATGCACAGTCTTATAAAACAGCATTCCAGCCCTTCTGTTATGGAGGTGCATGACCTACCTTTGATCATTAACAGGCCCCAGATTTTCGGCCAGTTCAGCCAGTACACAAAATTTTCAGACTAGAAGTTCTCTGCAGGGTGCATTTACGCTGCACAAGGCAAGACAGCATTACAGATAATAAGCTAGACCTGGAGAAAGCTGCTGTGCGTCCTTAACTCAAGAGCCAACTTTGCATGATTCTAGCTTCCTCCCCAGAGTTGCACTGCATGCTGCAGTCACTAAAGCAAAGTAAATAATTTCAGTGTGTACTGTTATTTACTCCAATTAGGATAGTGGAGAGGATTTCTCCTCCGGCTCAAAAAGAAACAGCCAAAGTACCTCCTTCCTCCTTTCACTCAGCATCTTTCCCCTCCACCCATATGGTAATTTTAACATGTTAACAGCTACAGACCTATTAAAACCTGAGACTCTCTGGTACAGCAAGCAAAAATATCTTATTTAACAGGTTGTAAAGTACACCCACAAAGACAAACTCAAAGAAAACACAGCCACTAATACTACAGGAATGGCTTTTCTAATAATAATCTCTTCCTTCTTTGAAAAGTCATATGGTCCTCCAGGCTGCTGTATTCTCCTTACCATATGGATGAGTTAAAAATATGATAAGCATGGCACAGAAACAAAACATCTGGCTTTTATCCCTACTTTCTGCAATTATCCATAGGAAATACATTATATAGATGCTAAATCTAACTATTTACAAAACAAAACACCCTCTTCTCCCACAGCTACAGACAGGAAAACAGAACACAGTGAGCCTCTTCAGTGTCAGCTCCTGCCCTGGAAGAAGAGTTAACAAACTCTGCAACCAAGCTACAAATGCCCTCGCTGCCCTGAACCTTAAAGGTCTTTTCTGCCTCCTTTAATTGCAATTCTGTTAGATGTCAGGGTCCTTAAATCCTGCTCTCTAGTAGCAGCTAGAGGACGTTAGCACTTCCAGGAGATACAAAACACCTTGCTTACTGTTAAAATTCCCACCAGACAAGTTGAATTTGTGCATCCCTCCTATTACTTAAAGGAAAACCATGAACTGGATACCTGAGCATCTGTTACTGTAGACTTACAAATGAACAAAAGAATCATAGTCCTTAGTTCACAGCAATTGCATGGGCCTCATCACTACTGTCCCTCCTCCACACTTACCCTCTGAGCCCAGCAACAGGCTCTTCGACTTTCTATTACTGCCTCAGAGCTCAATCACTTCTCCCCTGGTGCAGCCACCAACTCTTGTTTGCACCAATGCCCCAACTCCAGCAAGACCAGCATGAAAACACAAAGTAAAAAGCGCTCAGCCCAGTTAATTAGCTTGGGTTTTACCCCACACCTAACTGGCAACAAAGGGATTACATCAGACTTGGTCTTTATGCACTCAAAAAATGTTAAAAGATACAGGACATAAATCTACCTAGACGATTAAACCATTTTTGCTGTAGGTCATTTGATAGTATTTTTTTCTGATTCCCCCCCTTTGCCCTATATTCAGTTTTTGTTTTTAAATAATGAATGTAATTTCAAGTTTTGCCTGTTGCAGTTGGTTATTTGTGCATGGTCTTGTATGCTGTGAGGAACATTAGGCTCCTCTGAGTTAACCTTTGCTGCTGCCAATACACTTACCAACCAAGCTAACTAAATAACATGCCCTCTTTATGCCATTTCTACTTACATTCAAATCAAAGCTTTCTAAACCCACAGAATACAGATTTCACATTCTATAGAGCAGACTTTGTTTCACGTGCATCTATTAACACTAGAAAAGATCTTGAGATGATTACCAAAGTCATGCTAAAAATGTGATGAAAACGTAACTGCACATGATCCTTCGGTCAATTGTCACCATAAATTATCACTATTCTGTGACTTTGAAGTGTAGTACTCATCTATGCTTTCAATTTCTCAAGTTGATTACAGGACCTTCTGCTTATATCTACACTTAGATGTAGATATACACTAGAGTACAGTCTTTAGATGTAGACTTACAGCCTACACTTACTGCCTCAACAACTTATTTCAAAATATTTTTTCTAAAACAAAGATCATCATATTTCAATACAGACCCTTAGATATAAGCCTAGCATATTTCTAAAAGAGAATACTCAGACAAGTTATATCCACCCAGAGAAATTTTTTATAGCTTTTTTTGTCTGACATTATTAATTTCTGTAATATGGTTAAAAAATTACAAATACTGTGAACATGACTGAGAACAGAAAAGGTAAATTGCTGAAGCAACAGAACCCCAAACTACTTCAAACTACAAAATGCCAAACTACATGCTTAGGAAAGCCATATCTTCCCCCCACCCAAAACTACCGTAAATACTGGTATTCTGTCCCATGTGCATCACTAGAATAGTACTTCATTTTGCAAGAGAGGAACAGACAGTCAAATAATGAAGTAGCATTCACAGTCCTCTTCAAAAATGTGAATACTTGCCTTACTTTTGTTAAGTGCCAGATGCTAATACTCAAGACAGCATGACCCGCTCTATATACAGGACCAAATCATTCCACCAACCTATTTGCAAATGCACAAAACATAACACACGCTTGAAAACAAGAACCAGCACACATATGGCTCCTGTTGATGTTATTTTGCAGGCTCAGCTTTGACTTGCTGAAGGCCAGGTCTGTCCTGCAGCTGATAAACGCCACCTACTGGAATACATCCAGATAAAACATTGCAGAAGAAAAAGCAATAGTTGTTTAAAACGGGACACAAGATCATCTGAGAGCTGCTGCTGCGATAAGCCCTCAGCAGAAACAGGCTTGCTGCTGTAACTTACTATGACAGAAGCACTGCACTAGCTACAGAGGTTTATTCAGCCAGGGTAGCTCTTGAACTCCTCAGCCATCATGGGACAAGCACAGAAGAACTGGCTTATGAATGTCAGGATATACAAGAAAACGGTGTATAACTGCCAATCTTCAACACTCTTTGAAAGAGAAGTGCTAAGTGGAGGAATATATCTGAAAAATTAATTAACTGGGTGTGACTGTAGCATCATACTGTAAATAAGGGAAATGGATTACAGAGATTCAGATAACCTCAGCCAGTTGTTTACAAACAGCATACACACTTAATTTAGGAACAAAAGGACAACAGGAGCCGATTTCCTCATACCTCTGTGCTTTTCTCACCTAATAATGAAAGAAATGTTCCTTACAGTTCATTCTTAGGGCATCATTCACAGTGCTCCACAGTCTCCTCACTACTTGTCTTTCATCTTTAAGGAGGTGATCCTGCCCCTCTGCTCTTGCTCTGTTAGAGCCCACTTGGAGCACTGTGCCCAGTTCTGGTGTCCTCAACACAAGGACGTGGAGCTGTTGGAGCTAGTCCAGAGGAAGGCCACAAAGATGATAAGGGGTCTCTAACAACTATTTATGCAATTTCCTTTAAGATGTCACTACATGGAAGAAAAACCATTCCCAACCCCAAGGTGACTATCTTCAGCATTATACTCTGCCACACCACAGACTTCACAATCCCTTTTTTTTTTTTTTGTCATACAAAGATAACTGACTGAAAAAGTAAAGACTGCTCTTACTTGCTCCATAGCATGGTGGTTGGTGTATGTTTTTGCTAATTGAGAGATTCAGATGCTACAAGAGTATCTCGTTTCAGCCTCTTCAGGAAATTAATCTTAGCGTCTCAGGTGGTAGCTACACTGGCAACCAGTACAGGCCACCAGTAGCAGGCCTCTGTAGAGCTACAGAGTTGGTAGTGATACCTGACATCACACCCACTGAGCGTTTTACTTTGGACTAGCTCTAATATGGCTCCCTGTCCATGGCTGGAGCACACTGGTGTCCTGCTGGACTGCATCTTCTATTTCAGATCTATTTGAGGGAAGCCTAGTTCACACATACAAGACTATTCCACAGTGCAGACCACACAGCAGTAACTCACGATGTCTGAAAGATGCTCATCCTTTTCTGCTGACATTAGAAATCACGAGATGAAATACTTTGATTGTAAAAATGTAAACAAGCAAACAAAACGAAAACCCCAATGGTCTTGAATGTGGTGGCAAACCACAAAACAAAAACCCCTCAAAACCATGAAAAACAGCTTACCTGAGTCTGGAGTCTTTAAAGGTGTCTAAGTATGAAGGATAGTTCCAAGTAACATTACTCCCCTTGCATCGCAGTTCTATGCTTTGTCCTGCAGACAGGCTTAAAGTGGGAGCTAGTTTTTGGTAGTGACCTTTATCCATCACCTGTGTCAGTATGGACTGGGACTTCAAAGAGGAGTCAACAGATTCTCTCTCCTTCATTTTAGAAGCCTTGGGTTTTACTCTTTTGTTAACAGGCTTAATTTTGTTTTCCCCAGGTTCTTTGGGATGCTTACTCTTCGCAGGCTGTCCCATAACTAGTAAAGAAAAGGTAGCAATGTTATTGATTCAGAAAAGGTTACACAGTCATTTTGCAAAAAGAAATCTTCCTCACCACAGAGAATAAAATAACTAAAGTTTTGTTCTTCCTATAAAGGATTCATAAAACAAGTAAGAGCTAATTTCCATAAGTTTCTGAAGTCTCTGGCATGACCCATTTTCCTGAGGGGAAAAAAAAAAAACACAACAAAAAAACAGCTTTCAACATGTGGAAAAATCTATACTTAATAGTTGACATGAACAGACAAATATGTGAGGTATGAAAACTTTAGAAATGGGAAAGGAAAGAAATACAGCATTTCTATCTCCAGTTACTTTTGTCTTTTCTACCTCATGTCATTGCCATTTAGTGCACAACACTACTCAAGTTCTCCACCTTCATAAGGATGCCACACACACATCAATTCTGCACGGCCTTTTCACACACCATGCTACCAAGACAGACACATGAAGAGAAACTTTCAAGTGTGAAGCTTTATGATGATTTATAATATACTGACAGCAATGTAGCTTTCTTCTTTTCAGTTAAGTACTGTGAAAACACAAATTGCACTTAAGTTACTTGGAGGTAGTATTTAATTCATCACCTCTCTGCTGCAGCAGCCATTTATTTTCACAGTCCAGATGAAAACAGGACCTTATTTAGAGGCAAACAGTGGATCTACCTGCTAGATACAACAGGGACGTCCTGCTGCCTTTAAAAACAAAGCAAGGGAAAAGTGAGGTGTCACTAATTCAAGAAAGGTAAAAGAAAACTCCTACTTTGACTGATGGCAGGAAGCACAGATCTTCTGCAAGATGAGTGTAAAACTTCTGCCCCAGACACCAAAAACTCCAATAACTGCCTGACAGCTAATTCACACATTGAACACTGCCTTTCCACATGAAAATGCTCGGGTAATTTATTGTACAAATCAATCCAAAAGCTCCCTCTGCAATTAAAAATAGCCCTGCTGTATACTGAGTTAACAGAATTAAAACCGGTACTGGCTGCAGCATGAACAGCAGCACTTTCAGACTCCTGCCACTGATGGCTCCCATGACACTTCCCATACCCTGCCTGGATATCTTGCACTGCTTCAGCCTTCCACTTCTGTAAGTCCAGGCTAAGGTACACCACATCTCTTAAATGGCACAGAGCCTTATGAGCACAAATTTTAAAAACAGGAAATTCAATCTGAGCATAAGAAAACATTTCACATTTTACTGTGAGGGTGATCAAGGTTGCCAGAGAGCTAGTGGAGTACCCATCAATGGAGATGCTCAAAACCCAACTGGACAGCACCCTAGGCACCCTGCTCGAGCAGTGGGTTGGACTGGGTGATTCCAAGAGGTCTCTTCCAATCTCAGCCATTCTGTGACTCCATGACGGCTGCCTGTGTAGAAGCAGTTGCCTTCAGGTCTCACACCAACTGGAAAATAAACTGTAAGACAGCAACGCTGTAGTCACCTTGGTTTGCCCAATGCATTCTGAACTTTTTTGGACCTGGGGGAATGATGGAAAGGAACATTTCAGAGAATGGCTGCTGCCTCCCACAGCAGAGCATGAAGTAGGGTTTTTCTAGTCACTCAGAGCACATTACCCTAGCAAGTGACACAGTGTGTGTATTACAGGGGCAAACGGTGCAGGAGCATTTATACCTGCATTACATTAGAAAGGCAACAGTGGGTCAGGCCAAATGTTTGCCTAGCCAACATCTTTGCACTGACACCACCCAGCATTAGATGTCAACCAGGGAACAGGGCACCCATCTCTGCTCCTTTCAGACTAGTCTCCTCTTTCCCAAGAACCTTTAGCTCAAGGAATCTGTGAATCGCAGTTGCTGTTTTGTTGTCCTTGGTGGATTTTTCGTTCATTGATTAGACTGGTCAGTTTTCAAAGCTACATAAATTATACATAAATATTAGATGCCTCCTAGGTTTTGTATTAACTGAATAAATATCCATGGTTTCTTCAACAGCTTTCTCTGCAGCACTTGTACTTTAGCAAAATTTAAGTGTCTTTCAAACATATCCTTCCTGGATTGACAAGTCCTACTCTATTTATTTTTTCCCTGTGAAGAATACATGTTACAACAGTTCAATTACAACAAGCTTGGGTAATGAAGACAAAAGCAGACTGCACACCAGGCTCAAGATACAGTCACATCACTGTTGTACATATTAGCAGTGTCTTCTTTCATGTCTAAAGAGCTCATTACTTTTCAAGAAAGTAGTACTAGGAGCTGACTTTCTCTAGAATAATCCAGCATAACTCCAAGATCACTTTCCTAAGTAGGAATCATTGGTTAGAATTCCTAAGTAGAAACACATCAATGTGTGTATGAAGTTTGAGTCATCTGTGTTACTCTGCATCTACCAACACAATTTTCACCACCCAGTCTTTCAAAATGGAGTAATCCTTCCGCAACTCTTTGCTGAAAGTTTCCTTTTAGCAGATTTATCAATATGGTGAAAAGCATGTGCCTTACAAGATCCCTGTGAAATTCAGCTGGATAAAAACAATTCTATGCTCACATTGCAAAACCTGAAGATTAACTCCTACTCTTTGTTTTCTATTAGTTATTACGCCACTAGAGGTCTTGCAGCACCTTAGTTCCCATGAAGCCTTTAACAACAGGCTTATGAAAAGCCTTCAGGAATCCAAATATTTCAACCAGCTCATCCATGGCCACACTGTATAACTATAAAACAAAACAAAACACATTTCTGAAGGGGGAGAGGTGGGCAACCATATAAAGCCATACTGACTTCTGTATTTCATTTATTTATTCATGAGTTCAATTTACAGAGATCTGACTTTGTGCCCATACCTCCCTCAAAAATCTTACAATACTGGCATACTTTTTCCCTGGAAAGGAACAGTTACGTGATGGGCAATGCATCCAAGTTAAGACTTCTGCGATATCAGATTCAAATTTAAGTCTCAGGTGTATATCATCAACTCACTGCACTTAAATGCTGTTCATGTTGTTGATTTTCTCTAAAGCCAGTTAGTTTGGCATATTAATGAGAAATGTCCTCTAATGATTCTCCCTATAGGCAAACATTCTGCCTCGGAGCCTGCTATTACAGTGCTCAGTAGAATACTGTACTCAAGGTTTCCAATATGCTTATCCATGTCACCATTTTCCATTAAAACCTCGCTAAGCATCTCCATAGGTGCACACAACTGAGTTTTTAAGTTTCACTTTCTGTAGGTGTTCTTTCTTATCCCTGTTCCTACCAGCCTTACAAATTCTGGGGCCATCTTCCCCTGCTCCACCCCAGCACATCACAGGAAGAAAAGGATTTATGGTTGGTTTTATCCCTTGTGCAAGCTGTTTCTCAAACTCTTTTCATCTGCCTTATTCTGGTTTTTATATTTAACCCATATGTGAGTTAATGAGCCTCCTCATCTTATGTAATTCCCCCTTCCAAAATTAAATGCATCAGTTGTTTCTTTGGCTTTTATTATTCCTGCAAGAATATTAAATCTGCTGTCTGGCTGACCTAAAGCAACATCCGAATCCAATTACCTGAGCACTGCTCTAGATCAAGTCCAGACCTGCTGCTTTCTTCAGGGGTTCTCTGAAATCATCATTTGTGGCATCTAAACAATTGCACTTGGCATCAAACCCGACATGTGTCATCCAACCTATGTGAGGGTAATTCTTCCTTTTTCTTTCCTATTCAGTCCTTCCTGCCCCTCTGATTTTCCTTAACAGAGCGGTCATTCCCTCCATCACACTGGGTGGTCAGTTAACACATTAGTTGCTCTCCACTGAGCTGGTATTTCAGTCCAGATGACTTTTGCTGACCAAACTCACCAGGAATCAGATTTAACACTAAAGCTTTCTTCAACACATACTGCCACTTCTCCTTTGGGTTGAGCTATTCCATCCTTCCTGTGTAATTTGTGCCCTAGTATTAGAAGGTCCCACTGACAGACCTGATAAACAGTTAAGCATCCCCATTTCAAACTCACTGCTCCTATTCCTTGTTGCACTTTCCAAATCTGTCTGTTAGAAGCGCATAAGCCTTGGTCCAGCCACCCTTTTATTTTTACCCCAAACTCTACTGAAATTGGACTATTTGTTTAAACTACTCTTGATCATCTCTACTACATTCCACCAGCCTCAAACCTGACACTTGTTTGAAGGCACATGGATCATAAAACCTCACCCCAAGCAAATGCATCATCCCAAACTGTGTGCTCTTCCACACCTGACACTCTGCCTTTAAGAAACTGCTAAGGGCTCCCCTATGAAAGCTTTTCAATTTTAACTGCCAGAAGCCTGGTTTTGATTTTCTCTAAACGAAGGTTCTCCTTTCTGCACAAGCTCCCTCTGTTCCACACTCCTGTAGCTCCCAGCAAGTCTGAACACTTTCCTTCCACACCAACTCCCAGCCACACAGTGAGACTCTTGTCTGTCTGACCTTGGACTTCCCTGCAGGTGACAGCAGGGGCATTTCAGAAAACACCATCAGAGAAGCTTTTACGTTCCTACAGAGAAAACCTGCTTCTGCCTCTTTGCTGTACCTGCCCAAGTGTGGGGAATATTGAACAAGAAGCTGCGCCAGCAGACCTGGACGAGAGCACGAACATCCTGACCCTCAGCAGCTGCAAACCATGGGAGTCAAGAGGAATCAAAGTTAGAGCATCGAGATAACTTCCAAGAACTGTAGATATTGAAACAAAGAAAGTTACTGAAAGACAAAGATGAGATGTTGTACCCGGGACTTTTCGAGGAGCTACTGGAAAGCCTCCAGTGTGGGCTGAGGGGAGAAAAAAATACATGTTCAAGGAAAATGGAAAGTAATAATGTAGCAGAAAGTGGTAACAGAAAAACCTGCTTATACATCTAAGAACAAATAAGTTGTTCAAGCAAAGGCACGTGGACAATAATGTGATTGGTTGAAAAGGCGCGTGATCAGTAATGTCATTGGCTGGGAAAAGCATATGATGTTGCAAAAAGTACCAAAAAGAAACTAACCCATACTAACAATTACTAACCGCTAGGCAGGGGTCTATAAAAAGCCTGTAAGCTCACATAATAAACTATTTCGGTTGCACCACAACTGGAGTACGTGCCTCAGTTGCCACATTCGAGAGGTGAATTGCCAAGCAAGTAGTGCTGTGCTCCTCCCCCAACACTCCCCATCAGCCTGTCCAGGTATCTACTGACACCATCACTTCTGTGCCTCACAATTCTGCCTGCTCTCATCACTCAATTAAGTATCGCTATGCCCAACAAATAAAATAACTGGAACATAGACTATCACCTAAAATAAAGAGGACACACAATCAAATCCCTCTAGAAACACAGAATTCCATTTCTTTACCCAAACTGTAAGACTTGCCCAGGGAAGGGAACAAACTCAACAAGCTCGTTTATGCAAGTACATGTTGGGCTACTGGTATTGTCTCACTAGATTTACGTGCAGAGCCCTCAGTGTTTTCATCTAGCAATGGCACTTATTAATAAAATTAATAAAAATAAAAAATTAAGACTTAGTAGAAAAATATTGAGAAAACTTCTTTCAACCTCTGATCAGCTCCTAATGTCAGTTCTAAGATGCACCGTACTGATTTCCTCTACAGCAGTACATTCATGGCCCCTACTAACAGTCTCCAAAGCAGGAGACTATGCATCGATACACCAAAGAAATAACACAGTGCAGCACTTCTGCTCCTCGTTCACAGTATTCCTCTCATCCTATCCTTTACCGTTTGCTGCCCCTTGTTCTCACAGAAATTACACACACAACAATCCCCAAATAAGTGTTTGTGACAGAGTCCTAGAAAGCATCCAGCTTAGACTTCAGACAGACATCACCTATGCCCACATGCATGTTCCATCAGCCTCATAGCTGCACATGTTATAACTCAAGAAGGTCCCTGATCTTATTCAGGTGTCCACCTAGAGAATTGCTGAAGAACAGAATAAGCAAGGTCTCCCACAGGGACAAAGGAATCGGGCTCACTGTCTGCCAGGCCTACCATTCCATGCAGCCCCATGCTACATCTTGGCAGCATCGGAAACTTCTCAACTCATTAATACTGGTTAATTCTTCCTTGAAAAAAGAATAAATCAAATGAGAAGTTACCATAAAGAATAATTCTTAACCACCAGGATTAAGATGAGAGGCAAGAGCCTTTGTAATCACAACTAACGTAACAAAGCAGGTTGGCCACATCTCTACAGTACTTCAAATGAAAAGCTAATAATCCAAACACTTATAAAGACAATAGATGGTGACACAAACTGGAGGGACATATTTCACTGTTCATTAATAACACAAGCTAAATTAGAATGGCTATTTTGAAATCACAATGTCTACATGACGACTTACACCTCTAGCTTTAAACAAGGAACTGGCATTAAACACACCAGGTTACCTTCTCCCATAGCTAAGTTCATGGATGACATAGCGGGACCCACTCAGTCAAACCTCAACATAAACTAGACAAACTAAGAACACAGGCCTGGGAAATCTTTTGCCCAAGTTTCAAGACATTTCTCATCCTGTGCTTTTATTGACTCTCAAATAGGAAACACTTTTCTTGATGTCTGGAGGACCTGGAGGTGTTGGTCGATGAGAAAATGAACATGAGCCGGCAGTGTGCGCTCACAGCCCAGAAAGCCAACTGTATCCCAGGCTGCATCAAAAGGAGCATGACCAGCAGGTCGAAGGAGGTGATCCTGCCCCTCTACTCTGCTCTTGTGAGACCTCACTTGGAGTATTGTGTGCAGTTCCGGTGTCCTCAACATAAAAAGGACATGGAACTGTTGGAACAAGTCCAGAGAAGGGCCACGAGGATGATCAGGGGACTGGAGCACCTCCCATATGAAGATAGGCTGAGAAAGTTGGGGCTGTTCAGCCTGGGGAAGAGAAGGCTGCGTGGAGACCTCAGAGCAGCCTTCCAGTATCTGAAGGGGGCCTATAGGGACGCTGGGGATGGACTATTCATTAGGGACCATAATGATAGAACAAGGGGTAATGGGTTAAAACTCAAACAGGGGAAGTTTAGATTGGATATAAGGAAGAAGTTCTTTACTGTAAGGGTGGTGAGGCACTGGAATGGGTTGCCCAGGGAAGCTGTGAATGCTCCATCCCTGGCGGTGTTCAAGGCCAGGTTGGATGAAGCCTTGGGTGACATGGTTTAGCGTAGGGTGTCCCTGCCCATGGAAGGGGGGTTGGAACTAGATCATCTTAAGGTCCTTTCCAACCCTAACTCTTCTATGATTCTATGATTCTGTGAGGTAATGCACACCCACAGAGTGGGTCTTCCGGCAGAAATCACCTCCTGCACCACACTGGTCTGGAGTTCAACTCCTTTGCACTTAAGTCAGAAGGATGGGGATAGTAAGGACTTCTCGAAGTCCCTTCCTGCCCTGTTCAGTTGCTCAGAGCCTTGTCCAACTATCCCAAAGGCTGCAGACCCTACAGCCTCCTCCAGTAACTTCTTTCAGTGCTTAAGAGCTCTCAGGGTGAAGGTCTTACATTCTTACACAAACTTTCTTCCCTGATGACCCCTTGGGCTGCTGGTGGTATCTACCTCTCTGCCTCCCACCGTGCACCTCGGAGCCTCCCTCCGATTTCTCTACAAACCCTTCCACAAGCTACACACGCCTGCTGTGGTACAAAACAAAGGGATTTTTATTTTTATTCCTTCTGAACACATTTTAGTAAGTTTGCATTCTACAAGATGAAAACAGCCTCTCTCTTGCCTAGTTATAGTCTTTAAAAGGAACGGTTACGACTATCCTTTTCCAGTCAGAAACTTGCCTCCTTTCCCACCAAGACTTCACCACAACCTGAAGCTAAGTCAGGAGCGGAGTCTGGCTCTCTCTACAACCCAACAACCATGCACAAAACCACTTCATTTACTCTTTACACCTGAGCACCCCCTCCAGCATTGACCCTCCTCCAGGGCTGCACAGAGATTTAAGCACAGGTTCAAACGTCGACCCTGAATAGAAAGGCCGGCTGTTGTGAGGACGAACACCTCCCCCACAACCCCAACACAGACTGAAACCTCGTCTTCAGTCCCGGGAGCAAAGCCTCGGCGGCTCGCTGGCCACAGACCGAGAGCCGCCCGCCTTCCCCCCGCCTCTGCCCAGCAGGACGGCAGCCCCGCCGCCCCCGAGATGGCTCCGCCCCGGCCCCAGAAGCTGGCATGGACCGAGTGGGGCAGGGGCGGCCGCGCTGAGGCCGAGGGAGGGGACCCAGCTGCAAGGCAAGCCCGAGGCGACTCGCGAAGCCGGGGAACCCGGCGGGACGGCGGGGGTCGCGGCTCACCGTGCGGCAGCGTTTCCTGCAGCAGCAGCAGGCTGAGGAGCACCCAGAGCCGCATGGCGGGACCGGCCGGAGCGCTGGGCTGAGCCGAGGCCGGAGCGGCTGTGGGAAGCGGCCTCGTGGCGCCCCGACGGACCGCGGCGCGGGGAGGAGCCGGCCGGCGGAGGGACTGGGAGCGGGGCTGGGCAGGGCGTGTCGCGACTGCAGTGCCCCAGGGCGCGCTCGCCGCCCAGCGCGGCTTGGCTGAGGGAGGGAAGAGCCGCGACGCCGCGGCAGACGGGCGCAGCGCCTCGCAGGCCGGGACACCTGCTGCCGCGTTTCACCGGTCACTCCGGGGCTCCTCGTGTGAGCGGCCTCCCTCTGCAGCGGCACCTCTGCTGCAGCTCCTGACCAGGCAGCTGAGAGCAGTGACACAAGCCCACCCGCCGGCCGTCAGACCCAGCGCACTCACACCGGGCTGCCTCCCAAACAGTCATGACCCTAGGGCCAGCTGTGGAGGTTTAGTGCTGGAATTAGCTCATCGGTGGCAGCTGCTCTTTGCCATACTTAGCCTTGCATGGGTGGAAACTGTTTGTCTTTGGGCCTGTAGCTGGGTCTGCAGAGGGGAGTGGTAAGTTATATGGCACTTAGTGACCCTATGATTGGACAGGAGGCACACGTTAGTGCTGGCCTAAGACAGCAAAAGTACAGTCAAACTATTGCACTCATTCCAGCCTGCCACAGCAAAGAGATCCCCAGGTGCTTTCTCAGGAAAAATGAAAAACCAGAGGAAATATCTATGCATTGGTATTTAGGGCCCCATAGTCCATGACAGTCTTCATGTACAATTGACTGTGTGCAGGTATCCCTTCAGTGCTAAGAGATGAACATGGCAAATTTGACAAATTTGCTGGGAGTGTGTTTACACCCACACTGACCTCTCAAAAGCTGTTTATTGAAATCTAAGGGTTTCCTTGGAGAAGGGCTGGGAAAATGTGACTGGAGGGACCTCAAAGGTAGATGCAGGGCAGGATGAAGACACTGGACTGAGAGGAGGAAAAATAATGGCTGACGGAAGTCACAGGCACATCCTGTAGTAGACAAGACCACAGTTTGGTGCAGGTGAAGTACCTGGGGAATGGTGCCCCTGGCCACAGTTCCAGGGCCTGAGTAGATGTAAGAAGAGCAGAGAATTTACAGATCTTAAAGGAAGTCTGGGCTTTAGCTGCATCCATAATAAAAAAAGAATTAATAGAAGGCATATACATAATGCTCCCTTACCCTCGTAAGTACATACACATGTGGAGTTCCAGACCTGCTTGACTGAGCCTGCTCCAAGACTTCACCCTGGGGTACCTGGTTAGCAGTAAAAGAGCTAGCAGGACCCAGGTGTGGAGTAAAATGATGAAATTTCATGGTCTCTTTTTCATTCTACAGTTCTATTACAGTTCTCAGGGGTTTTATGCAGTGCCCTGAGTACACATCAGCGTAACCTGAACATGTCATCAGTTACGTGTAACACATTAAGCAAAATGATATTTTTGTTGCTACAAGGTATTTTAAAAGTCTTTCCCACTTTAAACTGTTAGAATACCACCAAGTTTTATATTCTGAAAAGAGTGGGGTTTTGTCATCAGCAAAACTGCTAGTTAAAATTCTTATGTGCCTTCGTAGGTCAAATTTCCATTTTCCTTTCACACACATGGTAGGCCAATGATCTAATGATGACTGAGCTCCAAATGTTAGTATATTTTGGAAAACATGGTAATAGTACTTTGAAATAACACTCAGACTGCATTAATTTTAAGACGTGTTTAAGCTGGCAACCTTTTTCCCTGTATAGATGTGTATAATGAAGAAATAAAGTGATTTTTATGAATTTTAATTTTCTTAGTTTTAAATGGGTGTGCCTAAAAAAAAGTTACATTTTCATTTATAGTCACATCAGAAGAACTAATGTAAACCTTCTTGTAATGACCATAGCTCTCCACATGAGTAAACTGGTATATTAAATACATCTTTTCAGCCCAGTGCTTTAAATGTGATACTTGCAGAATGACTTGTTTTCATTTAAATCAGTGGCCATATTACCACTGCTTCATAGGACCATGGTTTTCAAGGTCAGTCTTGGTAAATTGTGTGTACAATCATTAATCATTTGAAATCTTTGCAAGGAATTACATAGAAGTACAGTATACTCATAGAATCACAGAATAGTTAGGGTTGGAAAGGACCTTAAGATCATCTAGTTCTAGTTCATGCTTTTATTCTCCCGATATAACCACACTACTGTTCAAAGTTGAGGGAGTTATTTTCTTTTTCTTTCCCCCCCACCCCCCCCCCCCCAAAAAAAAAAAAAAAAAAAAGAGAAAAAAGAGACAACAGGGTTTTTTATCCATCCAGCTTTGAGGCTAGATGCTGCCAGGGCAAGGCTTGGTGCTTCAGAATGTTGAGCACCATGAATGCTGAGGACTGTTCACTCCCTCTGGAAATCAAGCCTGTCATCAGCTCTGGTTTGGCACCATAAGACACAATGCCCAAATCAAAGGGTGTTATTCTCTATTTCAGTGTCTTCCTGAGGTCTTGGAAGCAAGTATGAAACAAACGCTGCTACTATCCCCATCTCCAGACTACTGCCCCTCTGTAAAATCAGACAAGTTATCATGTTTTTCATTTTAAATGAGTTATGGTTTGTATGATGTCATCACATGAGATATCTGACATACTAATGATAATTTCAGTGTTTACTAAAACTACAGTGGTAACAGGGGTTACAGAGTTAGAGAATTAGGTTACAAGTATGAAGTACAAGTAATATTCAACTTTATTTAAAAAATACGGAACAAATGCACAATCGTTGTCCCATGAAGCACATTTTACAGTAAATGAAGAGCAATGTGATTTCCTTCAGAATTTGGAACAAAGGTAACTAAAAATATCAGTGATTACAGCTGTATTGTGAAAGTGAAAAAACAAGCACCATATTCTTAAATATAAGCATTTTTACATTCATAAAAATTCAAGACTTCTCATTTTGGTAGAGCACTTCAATGAAATATGAATTTGTAGTTTTAAGTTGCATCATAATCATTCTATCTACATTTTGTATGCTCAGCAGCATATAATACAGAAATAATCACTACAATGTACATATGAACAAAGAGAAAAGCTAAAATGGATATGAGCATTACTGTTCTTTAAAATATAACTACTCTTAAAGATATGTAACACATTTCATGCTTTACTTTCTGGTAACACAAAAGAAAAATATCCCTCCTAATCATTCAAATCCTTTTATCCATTGCCCTGACTCCAGCTAAACCTGGTGAAGCTGGAGTTTACTTGGCACCAGGCTCAATGAAAACATACAAACAGAACTTGTCCAAATGACAATAAAAATAAAGATATTTATACACATAGTTTTTTGTAATGCATGTCTATGCACAGAAACCTTCAACTTAGCTAATGTTTTCAAAATTTCTAAAACTCGAAAACTGATCAGGAGATGGTAAAGGCATTATAGTTAGCTTTTGAAAGGTCCAACTACTAAAAATGCAGAGGTTCTCAAAACATATACCAGAAAGAAATACTAAAGGCACAGGTAATTAAAAACAAAATACAAGTATCCTACACTATATGAAATTCCACCTACGCTGTTGTATTTGCCTAACACTGAGTAATCTCAGTGCTTTAAATGAACACACTGCAATTAGTATAGACTTCCTGGCAAGTCTAGAAAGAATTAGGGCCTGAGAGCATTAAAAGGTGCTTTTAGTTTTTCTCTGTAACCAAATAACGCATGCCAGCTGTCATGTGAATTAAATTCCTACTGTACATAATGCACCCCCATATCAAAGGCATCACACCTGATTAAAACAATTGCACAGTCCTGCACAGATTTCTTGCACTGTCACAAATTTCACCTAGGTTGTTCTGCTTTTGGTATCTCAGGATGCTTATGGCACATTTGATATTGGCACTTATTAAAACCTCCATGAAAAAAGTATACCTTTCATTTCTTAAATATATATATAAATATCTGCATTAATTTTAGGGGGAAGGTGGCTAGATTTGTACATTTATCATCTAATAAAATATAGAATATATATTTAAACTTTACCGTATTTTGATTCTAAATTCATTGTATCATTTTAAGTTTGTGGGTGTTAGTAGTTAAATTCATAAGTAAGTACATAAGTTACTCTATATCACTACAATTGACATTTATTACTGATAGCACTCTAACAGCAGGTAATATAAAGGGCTTCAACACATTGTGACATAAACATAATACACACATTTCAGGAATCTAACCAGCATTTGTTGTGCAGGAAAAAAACATACATTATCCAGGATAAAAGACAATGACTTCTAAGATACCTTATAAAATTTCCTATTGCAGGATTTGGACTGGAATACCATAAGAAGATCGTTTCAGTTAACATGAACTATACAGAAATGCTTTATAACTCTTATCCCTCAGAACAAAAAAGATGTATTTGTTCTCCCTTAAATATGCTTTGGCTTACTTTCTTAAATCCAAATGGGTAAGAATAATTCCCCTATCTAAAGGCACATCCAGAATGTACCAATGCAAATAATGTTTTTGGAGGATTTTTTCTACAAAGAAACAAAACCCGAATAAGCTACCTCCAATAATAGATATTTTGAGTTAATATATACCATTATTATCTGTACAGAACAATTTACAGTATCAACAACCATGTTAAAAAATAACAACAATCATTTAATTCCACTGAAGTCATGCTTTCAGCTGCTCTCTCTGAAAATACAGACATACAGTAAATGCAAGAACAAAATCAGGATTTGTTTCATACACAGCTCCTGTGTAAGGACTATCATGCCATGTCCATTGCTCCTGCGAAGTACCACTAAAGCATCTGTAATTTCAAGACTGCGCACACAAATACAGTCCAAAATTAGCATAAATATCTCATTTCTGGCTTGTCGTTTTCTTACTCAGCCACTGCCTAATAATGACTTCAGCTATACACAGGTATAAATAAGCTGTGCACAGTTGAAGCATCTGAAAATACCCCATGATTTCCTTTCATATCTCATTAGTTAAGTGGATAGTTCCTGTGCTGCAGCTGCTCCCATCTGCCTTAACAACATTTGTACAGGCACCTTCTTTTATTTTCATATAATTAATTTCTCTAAGCAGGGGGAGAAATATTCATACAGATGAAATGGGAAACTGTCAATACACAAAGTGCTGACACATCCATTAGCTAAATAAGCTAGAAAATGTATTTTCTGTAATTATTTCCAAAAGTCTTAGCTAAGTCAGAAGTGTATTATATTGACAGAATCCCTTCAAAGGAAAATTCCAGTGCGGTACAGAAGTTATTTTAACCAGTACATCAAAATAACTATGGGATAATATCAGACAGATGCAAACACATAGACAGGCATGCAAACATATATTCTGTATGTTGGGCTTGGGTATGAATGGGGTCTTACTTGCACATCACAGAACAGCAGCAGTTTGCATCTTGGGAGCCTGGCTCGCCTGCTCTGCAACATCAGCAACCATAGGAAAAAGCAAGTCTCTGCCTCCCACACGCTGAGATGTGTAAGGGATTTTAAAAGAGCTGTTTTCCAGTGTAGGCTTGTAAAGAAATCATGAAAAACCTTTACCTGAGCACTCACTTCCACAGCAACAGCGTATTTTTTACAGCTGAGGATTTGAGAGTACTGGGCAAGACAAGTTAAGAATGTCCTCCGAAAGTATAACAACTGAAGAGGCCGTGCTCAACAGAGTTGTAGCTGATGAGGAAAAGCATCAGCTTCTCTATTTCAGATACTTATCAGATTAAAACCAACAGAACATACATTCATTTAATTAGTTTTCTGGTTACTTATTTATAAAACCTTTGTTTTGACATCTCTAAGAATTACTACATTGGGTTCCTTTCAAGAGCCTGGAAAGTCTTACATTTCTACTATTTCAAACAAAAACATACAGTTCTTTTGTCATTTTTGGCATAAAAATAGGCCCCAGTTGAGAACTAAAATTAAAACTAAAACAGCAGATCCAACTGACATAGACAGATCTTTCAGTTACTGAATAGAGGTATTGAAAGTTATCAATAGCTCTACAAACTGCCCTGAGACTTCCTGTCCTTTCCTATCAACCGAATATTTACTTAGCATATCATCTATTTGTGTTAGTCAAATGTGAGATTTGAGTCTTCCTTTAATGGCATTTGTAAAGCCATTGTCATCGGTTGTGATCAATTCTGGATGGATTAGGATATATTAGAAAGCAGTATCCCATTGCCACCTACCCTATAGTTTTTCCTCATCCACTGAGCCCCTTCCGTTTCTGAGGACCACCAATAACAACGGGCCTTAGGACAACAGCAGCTGCAGTTAGAGACGCTGGAAACTCAGTTACAATGCCTCTTAAAATTTTCCTATTGCTACTCCTAATGCCGTGTAGCCAGTAGAGGTCACTGGTGCAACAGCACACATCTATCCACTGGCTGCTGCCAGCACTGCACGACCCTGCTCTCCCAGTACAAGCTGAGAAAGAAGGCATCGGGCTGAAAACCTCAGACCTGCTCCAAGGTGAGATACCAGCCCCGGTATCCCACCTGGTTTTCTGTCTGCAGGGGTTTCTATCAAGAAGTCTTCTGCCATTCAGCGTTTAGGCACACTACTGTTTTACAATAACAGAAGTTGTTCTAATACTAAAAAGTGTTAATCTACTGCTGTGAAAAAGAACAGGAGGAAGACAGAAACAGCTTAACTATTTCCTTTTTTTTTTTTTTTTTTTTTGTGAAATTCCAGCTATTATAAAAAAGTACTTTTCACTGTCAGCCAAAATAGCTCTCATGGCATCTAAAGTTTTAATTGCTAACAGTAGAGATTAACACCAATGATGAGTACTGGCAACAGATGGCAACTCTCCATGAGAAAGTCCAAGACAGGTCATACTTCAGGAAGTAATTTTTATAAATACATTCTTGCAAAATAACATCATATTGTGGAATTCTTCACTGGACTTGAGACTACTACCGGCTGAGAAAGTGTTAAAATGTCTGTGTGCCTTTGATAGGTAACATGACTTATGTTGAAAGAACAGTTTCATTTTCCCCAGCTTTAAAATTATTTTTCACCCAGCTGCAATAATTTGGTTCTTTACATAAATTAGCATTTGGATAGTCTCACAGCCCAGAAAGCCAACCGTATCCTGGGCTGCATCAAAAGGAGCATAACCAGCAGCTCGAAGCAGGTGATCCTGCCCCTCTACACTGCTCTCATGAGACCTCACTTGGAGTATTGTGTGCAGTTCTGGTGTCCTCAACATAAAAAGCACATGGAACTGTTGGAACAAGTCCAGAGAAGGGCCATGAGGATGATCAGGGGACTGGAGCACCTCCCATATGAAGATAGGCTGAGAAAGTTGGGGCTGTTCAGCCTGGAGAAGAGAAGGCTGCATGGAGACCTCATAGCAGCCTTCCAGTATCTGAAGGGGGCCTATAGGGATGCTGGGGAGGGACTCTTCATTAGGGACCGTAATGATAGAACAAGGGGTAATGGGTTAAAACTTACACAGGGGAAGTTTAGATTGGATATAAGGAAGAAGTTTTTTTACTTCTTTTTTACTTTACTTTACTTTACTTCTTTTACTTTACTTTAAGGGTGGTGAGGCACTGGAATGGGTTGCCCAGGGAAGTTGTGAATGCTCCATCCCTGGCAGTATTCAAGGCCAGGTTGGACAGAGCCTTGGGTGATATGGTTTAGTGTGAGGTGTCCCTGCCCATGGCAGGGGGGTTGGAACTAGATCATCTTAAGGTCCTTTCCAACCCTAACTATTCTATGATTCTATGATTCTACCCACATGAATGGATCTGTGGATGTAGGCTTGGCTCACAAAAAATTGCTGTGCTAACATGTGCTTAAGGCTTCATGAAGCGCTGAAATACTGTTTTGACAAGGATTTTTTCCAGAGCCTGGTCCTCTGTTTCCTTAACCTCCCCTTCCATCTGAAAGGAAGGCTGGGATTTTGTGCATTAACTTGTCCTGAGGAGAAGCAATGTGTAACAACTAATCTGAGAAATATCAGCTCTGGCACATGATAAAGGAGAACAGAATATACAGGAATAAATGAGTAGTAAATAAGAAAACTTGATGACTGCTGTATGTCAGTACCAAATCATATAGTCAGGGATAAAATCCTGACCCTTCAGAAATCAAAAGCACAATACTTGCTAAATCATACACCAATGTCACTGTCAATACTGTGAACAACACATTATTTCCCAGATTCTTTTGCAGAAAAAAAAACCAACCCATATCTCCTCCTGGGAGTATTATTTTATACACACAGCATATCTGAAAGGAAAGGAATTCATGTGAGTAGAAATCTGGAATATTATTTAGAGGGACTCAAAGCCTTTGAAGTACCTTTATCATTTGAGTTCTCTACGACTACTGATTAGTAAAGATAAGCAATTACTTTTTTTTTGCATATATATAGGATCTTCTAATTTTTGCAAACTGTAAGATCTGTACAATTACCATTCATTTTGCAGATACTTTCCAGCCTTGTCTGGAATTTGTCTCCCATGTGAATTACTTCTGTAGAAAGAAGAGAGCTATCAGATTGCAACCAAAACACGTAACAGAGATAAGGAGAAGGCACTAAAGACACTTCTGTTCACAATGCAGCATCAAATATTCAGAACTTCTTGAAGGCAGCTCTAAAATTCTTTGTATTTTATGATTGCCCATGATTTTGGATGACAGTTCAAACAATACGTCCAAAATTTTGCTTGCCAAAGGGTATTTCTTTTGTTTTGTTTTGGTTTCTTTTTTGTAGTTTAAATATTAATCTCCATGCTGTCAGATTTGAAACGTTGAAGATGGATTAGCAGCTTGTCCAAAATATCAGACAGGCCTTGTAGTAAACACTTTCAAGAGGCACAACATTGGCAGAAAGCTTTTGAAATTTCAGTCCACAAGTAAAATGTCAACTAAAGGTTTAAAAGACTTGCATGCTGGCATAGATTAACATTCACTTGTCCTTTCATGTGCAAGAAACTGATCACTTTCATTTGCATTTTCAGGTTCATCCACTTCTTCCACAGGGTTCTTTTCTTGCAACCCACTATTTTCTGAACAAGATTCATCATCTCCATTGCTACGATGACCTTCAAGACTGTGTCTGATACCATAGGCAAAGTAAATGAGGAAGCCTTCCAAAAGGAAAAGAGGCAAGTAGTGCATTAAAAAATGGTTAGTTATTACGTTCTCTGGCTGAATATATTTTCCAAAGCAAGTTTCTTCAGGTATCGGAATCAGAGCTCATGCTTCAGGTCTTTCCTGTTTCTATGGAAATTCCACTGCATCATCTTTGTGTAATTAAATGCTCTAGTAGGTCATGGAAACTACTGTCTCTAATTTATATCTAGATTGAATTAATACAATTTTCCACATCTTAAAGAAGAATGACTGGTATAACTGTTTGTAACAGGCTTCTGCACCATTTTAACTCTATTAAGGGAAAAAATGTGGCTTATTGAATTAGTCCTGTAACTTAGATTCTTTCTGTTACCTCAAAAATGTACTTACTTTTTTGACTGCATATAAATACTACTTCTGAAGCACATTCTATTTTTTATGAGAAATATCAGCTTTTATTAAAATAGAATTATTTTCAAGTATTTAAATGAATAGAAACAAATGTTCTAAAATGGGATCAGTGAGTTTTAATATGAAAAGTGACTGAAATGAACAGAAGTACCTACCAAGTGCCATCCAGAAGCTAAACCTGATCCAAGTGTCTCCACTTAATTGTACCATCAAGTAAATATTTACCAGGATACTTAATGATGGCAAAAATGGCACTAGTGGAACCTAAAAGGAAATATTTAGTACATATGTATTAAAGATAATTTCTTGCATGTCACACTTCAGTTACACAACACACACTAGAGGTGACACATCTAATCACTAAAAAAGAATTGAGGTGGATCTTTTATTGGAATATAGTAAAATTTTCTTCTTCACTAGGTTTAACGACCAGTTTCTACATATCTTAAACTCTTGAAATACATTATATTTAACATCTATTCTCTAAGACTGTCTAGAAAAACTTTCCAGTTTGTGCTGAACATATACTAATGAATTCTTGTTTCTACAACTGAAAAATATTATATATATTTTAATATATCCCTTCCTTCTGAAATGCCTCCCAGCTCCACTGGAGTTCTAGACCTTGACCACTGTACATTATTATTTCTAATCTTAGAATGTAAATGAAAGCTGAAAATAGAAAGATTATACTCTGGAGGGTATGAACTATACTGTGGTCTATGGTATTGCCCACAGCACAGACCAGTGATTGTACACTGATCAGTTTCTGAATCATTTTCCAGTTTCTAAATGCTTGAGGTCTAAAATTGCTTGGATCTCAACAATGCATACTTTTGAGGATGTACCTAAAGGAATATCTAGATGATCAGTGCTGTCAGGCCTCCTTGTTACAATAGCAGCTGTTCATACCAACATCAGCGGTACAGCCATTTTCTGCAGCCATGCTCCTATGCATGTTATACATTCTATCTGCAGCAATAAAACCCTTTCTCCAGTCCTGAGAAGGTCTGGACTGGGCTACACAGGCTGATGATTCAACCATGACGATCCACTACTCTTACCTTCACCAAAAAACCTGAAATAGTGGCAGTGCCCCTCTCCCACTTGTTAGAATACATCCAAACTTCTCATTAGAATGACATAGAGAATATGTTATTCACCATAAAGGCCACTTTGTGCTGGTTCTGAGGCTGCCTTTGGATGAGAAGAATGGTAACTATGAAGGATGTCATGAACACAGCAAGAAGGCCAATACTCCAGAGCTCCAAGTTAGCAATGGAATGATTCATGTATGTAGTGAGGACACTCAAACCACAAACCAAGCAAGCTGTGTGAAGACAAAATGATGAAAATAGGAAAAAGGTCACTTAATCTCTGTATTGATGAGGAAGGTAGCTTTAAGAAGAATGATAGCAGGTCTTCAGTATGAAATGTTATTGTGAAAATGCTTAATTAAAGGAAAACATACCACACTACAGGTTAGAGCCATCAAGAAGTATAAAAGCATTCTGCAGAATGACACATTAATTATGACTGAAAGAAGGCATGTTATCACTGGATTTTTAATTTTGCCTTTAGTAAAATTCCATTATTTATGTTAATGTATTACATGAGTTTGGACAGCTGAATACTTACCTAACAGACCCACTAAAAAGCTAACTGTAGTTGCAGTTTGCTCAGTAGGTAAACTGGATGGATTAATCAGCGCCTGAAGACTGAAGTGTTTCTCTTGTATCATATTTATCTGTGATTCACTTACTGCAGATTCCCTTTCAGATGCAGCCAAAGCTGCTTTTTCTGGGGAATATTTTGGTTGCTCATAACTTAAACTGGGTTGGTACCTATGCATAAAACAAAGAACATAGTAGAAAAAAATAAAGCTTACTTTGGGATTTGAAGCAATATGAGTCTAAGAGTGTATTTAAATACTAGGTTATTGGGAGTAGAGGTTTAGAATTTCCCAATTTAGAACTGCACTGCAGCAGCATATATTGTTAGTCACTATCATATATAAACAAACTACGGCAACTCAATTTTTGCTGGGGCTTGGGTATTTTTGGTACATTTTTTAAAGCTACATAAATGCACCAAGGAGTCAGATATATGATCAGTCTCGTACAAAAATAGGTGACAGAGTCTGGTGGTCAGTGGTAGGGAAGGGGAGGGGGCACCTTTCTGACTTGCTTCATGTACTGTAGAGGCCTGATAACTGGCATAAACTGAAATTTTACATCTGCCTTGTTAAAATTTAAGTATATTTTTAAAAATACATTTTAAATAATTCACTATGGAATAACAGAGTCTTTTTTAAAGTGTAAATTATTGCAACAATGAATTTGAACTGAATTAAAGGTGCTTCTTAGTGATTGTTTATACACATATAGCTAATTTTTAACCATTGAGTTATCTAGCAAAAAACACACTCTGTAAATGTCACTTCTGTGTATATACTGACCAACACAAAATAAAACACAGTAGAATACAAAAGGATGGTTTTGACTCACCTAAGAATAAGGACACAGGTTGCCACAAGTGAATAAGCAAGAAGTGTACCAATAGACATCATGTCCACTAAAGCCTTTAGGTCAAACAGAAATGCCATCATAGCTAAAAAAAGGAGAGAAAGGAAAATGCTAAATTTATATGAGGCTGACATAGAATCATAGAATGGCTTAGGCTGGAAAAGACCTTTCAGATCATTGAGTCCAACCATAAGTGCTAAGATTTAACATTAAGACATATTGAGAGATAAGATTTTAAAATCTGGCCACTGTGTAACTTTACATTGTTTTACTGACAGCAGTATGAGTGAAATCATGGTACTCCTTAAAAACTCAGTTTTGAAGTCATCGCCGACATTCCCGAAGCTAATTCCCTACAGCTGGGAATCTTACTCATACAGATAAGCACTGATGAGCCCTACAGTCATGCTGCATAATCAGGTACTTTGTATTGGACTTACTTGAACATAAGTATTTGCATACATGGCTTCTTGAATTGTGGCCACATTAAAAATACATTTCCATAGAATAAGGTTCAGATCCTGCAACAGAATCTCACCAAAGCTGAGAAGATGGATCCCACTGCAAAACTACGGAAAAGTGATCTGACCCAGTAAGTGACCAGTGTGTAAAATTTCTGCTGAGGTGAGAGCGAGCTCTATGTAAAGGGGACTTTTAGGAGTTATCGCAAAAAAA